TGGTTCTTCAGCCTGCTGGCCTGCCCCACAAATTTTTGACTTGCCTGTCTCCAAAATCTCATGAGTCAATACTTTAAAATATAACTATCTATTCTAGTCTGTCTATATGTCTATCTAGCTATCCATCCATCCATCCATCCATCCATACATACATACATACATACATCTAATTAGTTCTGTTTCTCTGGAAAACTCTGACAAGTACAGGCTCATAATAGTTTCTCCCATCCCAAATCTTAGGGTACTTTATATATATACATATATATATATATATATATATATGTATATATATATCTGGAAGCTAACCCTGTCTAGATCTTTTTTATATTATAAACTTTTTAGGGAATGGAAGTTCATTTTTTAAAATTTGTGTCCTCTCTTGGGTTGAGCTGTCTGTGATTATATTGTTTGATATTTTACTCTTTGAAATTATATATAAATGTTACAGGATATATACCTAGTAGAAAATATATGATTAAGCATGACACACAAAATTAACAAGTGATGTATTAGAATGTTCAGTTTATAACACTCAGTTCAGCAGTACATGGGGACAGAGCTGTGTCTAGGTTCCAGAGTCAACTATTAAAAACTGATCATTTTAGATAATAGTTTTCAAAACTCTTCCATATAAAGAATACCCTGTGTATATGAATAATGCACATTCTCTCCCCTGTAGAAAATTCACTGCTTTTTTCATTATATATGGCTTGCATTATGCCCTGCATTTTACTGCCTCTCTACTTCCCCCTCAACATTTATTAATTGGTCCCAGCATGTATCTATATGTTCATATATCCTTTAAGGTTCAGATCAAATACAACTTCCATCATGAAGTCTTTCTTTATTTTCCCTGGCTGAAATAATCTCCCCTGTTTCCATGTCTCTTTAACTGAGGTTCCATTCCCATCTATGTAAACCCAGCACAATGTAGAAGTAACTCAAACACAGAAAACTGTTTGTTAAAAAGTTAAGTGATGACTGAATGCCCATGTTGTTACATGCCTTTGGCAATATACATTTAGAGACATAAAAATAGAGCCCAAAGGGTTGATAACTGAACTCAGATTCATGTCTTCTTTTTGAACATCTTTCATTGCATTGCTGAATGACTTAATGATTTAATACTGGGCATAGCCTCTTTGTTTCTTATTTCTTTATCTATTTGAAAACTAGAATGGTACCAAGTTTTCTACTTAGTTTTATGTTGTTGTGATACTATCAAGAAGTTGGTGCTTTTCCAATAATTAAGCAAAGTGGAGCAGATAACTATGAACTTTTACCACTAAAGCTCTTTGTACTACAGATTAGCTATACTGCTATACTTGAATATTTCTCTGCATGTCTATGGCCTTAGTATCTGATTCACCACCAGCCATTACTTGGCCCGCCATACTATATTGGCATATAGATAGTTTAGGAAGAGATTATTAGTGCCATGGTGGGAAGACCAGATCAGAGTCAACCAAACTTCATGATAAAATTATGTACCTATATCAATTACTTAAGCCAATCTGCATTTTATGTATAGTTTTTTCCATTCCTGGAAATACAATAATACTTTTAAGTGTGAGAAACAGTACATACTTGTAAAGCTGATGATATGGTAGTAAGATTACACTACATACACATGCTATCAGTTAGGTTTTGATGTAATTGAGTTAGAAATCAAGATGACTCATCTTTTTACCTTTATGCATTAATGCTAATTTCTCAGCTAACTTGCAAGGAAATAAAATAAGTTTCATAATGTACATGGGACTTCAAATGTCTAATGTACTATTTCATATCTCAAAATGTTTACCCTAGAAGCTCTTGTACTTGCTGTCCTGAGTGAATGGAAGTTCCTTTTTGTGTTACTTTTGCTTATTTATTCTGCAGATAATTATAACCTCTAAATAGGAACATGAAGTACAAGAACACAGTTTGATCATTTTCTGGAAATTACACTGATATAAATGAGTAAATGCAATTGGATTTTTGATTACACATAAAATAGCACAAACTTTAATGACCTTTTTATCTCAGTGAAGCACTTATTAAGAATTAGCAATTTAGAAGAGCCTGGAAATATTAGCCTCTATAAAGGGGTTGGGAAGGATGGGTTATGAAAACGTATCTCTGTATCTTTCTTTTCTTTGTCCTATGTTGTGGAAATAATTGTAAGTAGAAAAATTTTCACATTTCCCCAAGACCCTCTGCTTAGAAGAGTTTGAGCATTTGGAAGTCATAGCTCTTTCAACAGTGATTAGCTCTTTCATAAACACGTATTCTAAAGAAGACCCTATCAGCTGCTAAGCAGGATTCATAGCTGCTTGCTAAATTCCACCCCTAGACAAGTAAGTTCTCAAGTGCTGCCTTTAATGCCCCATTATTTAGAAATAGTGCAGCCACATATACCTACAAAGTAGCATGAGGTTCCCTTAACCAACCAATGTCGGATCTTTGCCAAGCCATAATCCTGGTGGATATATAAACCTCATCCTTTATTTTATACAGTTTCTTATCTTTGATTCTATATAAAAATACAAAGTAATTTTTGCACATAATGTTAATTAAATATTCTTTCTGGGATGTACCATAAAATGAGTGTGAGCCTTCTTTTATTTGCATTTACCATTATAACCAGAAACTGTGTCATAACACAGGTTACACTGTTAGACTGAATGGTTAATTATTAGTATCAGTTGAAAAGGATACTTTGAAAAATCATAATTTATTCCAAAGAAAAAAGCATCTGCTCTGGAATAGGGACTAAAGGTAACTCTTGTGAAGCTGTCCAATAATTTCCACAAGGTTCAGGGAGGAGGTACACCACCAGTGATATTGTACATAAGGGTCCATTGGCCCTCATAAATGCATGCCCATATTATGGACAACTCCATTAATATTACTTAATATGATTAAGCATCTAAAGAAAAAATATGCTTTATTACTGTGTATTATGAGATGTTTTGCATTATGACTCAGCTTGAATTATAAACAGTACATAAGCAAGGTTGTGGCTATGAAATGTATAAAACTCACATGGTTGCCAAAGTACTTTCAGTCTGTATCTCACAGCACAATTTGATTCTAGGCATCCCATACTAAGTTGGAAGAAATAAAGTTTAATCATCTCCCTCTCTAAATTACTCACAATACAAGTGCTTTTATGCACAAGGACTTGATGTTTTTATATCCATGCAAAACAATGACTGACACAGTAGATGCGTGCATCTATCTATGTATGTGGATAGATTATTGAATGATCACATATTATATCATTATATGGACAAATTACCCACAATAATTTATTTATATGTCTTAATCTCTTTATAAAGCACACATCCCATACCTGATTACACAATGTCTAGGCCATTGCTGGATTTTAAATAATTATTAATATGTATGTGCTTTTCCCAAATTGTAACACTGTTCATCCCAAATAGATAAAATCTTGGTGTTTAAGGATACAAATCTGCAAGAAGTAAATAAGCCATAGAGATGTAATGCACAATAGAATGAATATAGACAATAATATTGTACCATAATTATGTAACGTGATAAACATTGCTACAATGGCAATCATATTGGAATATATAAATGTATCAAAGTAACACTGTACACCTTAAACAGTTACTTATCAAACTTACTCAGTTACATAAATAAAAAGAAAATAAGTGTTTCCTTCTCAATTTACTCTATGGTCAAATAAATTATAATTATAAATATTCTGCTTGGACAGTAGGATTTGATCCTACTTCCTTATTAGCAAGTTGACTCCTAGTCTGTTTATTTATTATTCTCCCTACCACTTTTTTAAAAATATTCATTCATTAGTCAAACTCTCAATTACACTTCCATTTCCTGTATTAAATATTTCCCTCCAGGCGAACTGGCCACTTGCCAGCACCGCATCATGAGTGAGCATCCAGCACCCACCCATAGTACCTCATAAAATACCTCTTACTTTTCATTTTGCTCTGTCTCCCTTTTGATGTCAGAGGTATATACACACATACATATAATCACTTTCTGTCCTCAATAGTGTTGACTACTACTGCATTCTTAGACATTAATTTTATCAAACACATTTTAATGCTTATAATATGGCAGGCATTATGTCAGGATATAAAGTATAGATACTGCTTAATCACCTACTCCTGAGAGTTCCCTCATAACCATGCAATTTCCTAAATAGAGTCACTTGCTGATTATGGTTTGAGCCTTTCCTGTAATACTGGGACCTCTCGGCCCCCCAGCAACCACAGTTATATACATATGTGTGGTTCTTATGGATGTGAATTGGGGATTCAGCCTGTAGGGTCTCAGTTTCCATATCATCTGCTTATTAGCTCTGTGATATGAGGAGAATTATTTTCCCTCTCTATTACTCAATAAATGTTACTTAAAAATTAAGATTATAGTAGTCCCTATTTCACAGGGTTGTAATAAGGATTTCATGACATGTTACATGCAAAACTCAGCATGGTGTTTGGCACGTTATAAGTGCTCAATAGGATGTTTTTTATGTGTAGTTGCTTTAAAAAATTTCTATCTAAATAAATGTAGACCTATAATTTGTGATTAAGTTTTTGGCCAAAGGACAATGTAAGGGCCTTTAGTTAATTTGGTGTTTGCATCTTGATTTGTACTTATTTGTGATTTTGTTTTACTTACATATCATGTAAATATCACAAAATTAATATAATTGTTAATGTCAAGAAAATTTGCTTTTATATTTAATGACTATATACTAGAAGTTATAAAATCTTGAATAAAATTTGAAAAATAATAAAGCCACACTGGGCAGCAGTAACTGTTAGAAACCTTGGATTTTATTTTACATGATTCATGTAAACAATTAGAAAGGTAAAAGCAAAGCACTTTTTTCCTCTGAAAAGACTGAGTTTAAGTACAATTTAATTACAGAAACCTTATAAAAATTCAAACATCTGAAGAAAACGTAAAATAGTGGCTTTCTTATTCTAAATTATTACTCTTCTTTTTATCTTTAGGAATACACAATAGATATAATTTTTGCCCAAACCTGGTTTGATAGTCGTTTAAAATTCAATAGCACCATGAAAGTGCTCATGCTTAACAGTAATATGGTTGGAAAAATTTGGATTCCTGACACTTTCTTCAGAAACTCAAGAAAATCTGATGCGCATTGGATAACAACTCCTAATCGTCTGCTTCGAATTTGGAATGATGGACGAGTTCTATATACTCTAAGGTAATACTGTTTTAAGAAAATATGCAGTGCTCTAACTGATTTTCTGTATTACTGTTTGATCAACTCATAAATTTCCCTTTTTCAGAATTACAAAATAAGAAATATGGAGCTCCTTTCATACATCTTAAGTGGTAGAATATTTTGGAAATGCTTGTTTAAGCTTAGAGTAAAGAGTGAGGAACACTAAAAGCAGAGAAGAAAAACTCCTTGATTTTCTCCTCTGAAGGAGAATAGGCATGGCATGAACATTATGTTTTTTATCTAGTAATGCAAATGATTGATTGAGATATTCTCAGGAGCACATCCTGCTATAAAAATTTAAAACACTGATTTCCAGTGATCAAGTAATGTTAAGAAAGGACTAAATGAAGGTTGATGTATGATTCAAGTTTATTTAATTCAACCTTGGACATATCTGTTTATTAAAAATCATTCTTAATGGAAAGATGTTCCTGGCAAATTAAGAGAAAGAAAAATCACCATAATTAGCCATTTACACTGTGTTCATTGTGTGTGTGTTGAGATCGTGAAGTACAAAAGTTTAATTGTAAACAGAGATTATACTGGAATGTATACAGAGGCAGCTTAGCTGGCTAGAAAGGAAAATAATAGAATTTTCTTACTCATTTATGAATGTTATACCGTTACCACTTAAGATTTTGAGACTTTAGAATTATTATTTTTTAATATATCATAGTCCATCTTTGTAAGCCAAAATCATGTTTGAAAATTAGACAAAGATTTTTAATGCTCAAAATTGTTTCTCATTGTCTAATATTTATTCTTTCATTAAATAGATTAACAATTAATGCAGAATGTTATCTTCAGCTTCATAACTTTCCTATGGATGAACATTCCTGTCCACTAGAATTTTCAAGCTGTAAGTAACATAATACTTGACAAATTTATAGAATTTTAACCTTGGATCCTGTTTATTTAAAAAATGTAAAATGAAATGAAATAAAACACAATTTACATAATTTTCAGAAATGTGAATTTTGTTCGACTCTCAGATAAAATAATTACAATGGACATATTTGTTTCTTGCTTTTAAATTAAGAAGTGGCAGTAAATGCATAGTGAATGTATTTTATTATGTAATACTTTACAGATTTTAGTTTTATCTAATTGCTCTTTTCCGATTTTAATTAAATATAGGTCTACTAAAGATAGGTTTCTTTTCAAATACTTTTTATAATGTGGAGAATAAAATATTGATTCAAATTTTATTAATCTTCTGGAGGCAAGATTTAACCACATTACATTGGATTTTAAAATACATTTCAAAGATTGGTTTGATGAAGAATATTTATTGTATTAATAGCAAATATTTGAGAAGACTTTAATGAGTTGGAAAAGCCTATTTTATTCAAAAGAAAGACTGAAACACAGTGAAATGATTCAAGCTATATAATTTTTGCATATGGGTCCAGTATAGAATTAAGCCATGTCCTAGCTATTCCACACCGAAGTATATGTCCCAGAGAAAGCTTTGCATGTGTATGTATTGTGAAGCATGTGCGATGTTACTAGCTGCTGTGTTAGTAATAGCCAACAGGAAACATTATAAGTGTCTATAACACTAAAATGGATTAATGAATTTTAGTACATTTTTACAATGAAATAGTTATATACAATAGCATGGATGACTATCATAAATATAATATTAAAAGAAAATATAAAATAATGCATCCAGTATGTATGGCAATAATCAAATAGATTTCAAAAAAACTAAGCTATGTTTTCCAGAAATGCATATCAGAAAATCTGTAACAAAAAAAATCCACGAAAATCATCACAAAAATCAGGTCGTTGGTTCCATTTGATTGAAAGAGGGAATTACTATATTGGAGTAGACACATGAGTTTTCTTGGATGCTTTTTTGATTTAAGTGAAGTTAATTGATTATTATACGATTATTCTTTACACTATATACATGTATTTTATGCAGCTTTTTCTATATTTAACATATAATACAAAAATGAGAAAGAATTTCAAAACATTTGAATAATGCTGGTATTGGAACAGAAATAAATCTGGTTCTTGCTAATCTGGGTATTTTATTTTAATTTTTTATCCAGATGGATATCCTAAAAATGAAATTCAGTATAAATGGAAAAAGCCTTCTGTAGAAGTGGCTGATCCTAAATATTGGAGATTATATCAATTTGCATTTGTAGGGTTACGGAACTCAACTGAAATTTCTCACACAATCTCTGGTAAGAATGATGCTTTTGTATTTGTATTTAAATCTGTGGGTTGGAATATATATATATCATAGCCAAGATAAAACTTTTGTTTTTCTTCCAGGAGATTATATTATCATGACAATTTTTTTTGACCTGAGCAGACGAATGGGGTATTTCACTATTCAGACCTACATTCCATGTATTCTGACAGTTGTTCTTTCTTGGGTGTCTTTTTGGATCAATAAAGATGCAGTACCGGCAAGAACATCACTGGGTATGACATGCAATATCATTCTGTACTATCATATTTAAAATAATATTTAAAATTTTTTAATCTGATAAGAGTTTATAGTTGAAGTGTTAGAGTATTCCCATACATACAATCAAGCAAAAATTAACAGATACTCTAGTGTAATACGATGCTGAAATTGATTCTTGCTAATCTAGGTATTTTTATTTTATTTTTTTATCCAGATGGATATCCTAAAAATGAAATACATTTAAAATACATGATAAAATAGAAAACAGAATTGTAATGAACTTGAAATTTCAGAATTTTTGTTTTCTTATTTCTCTTGCTAGTTTAGGCCAAGGGAAGTATAAATACACAGTAATAATTAATGCATGAAAATCATACATAATCTTGAATCTTAATTTCGTCAATATTTTCAGTTTTGATAGACTCTATTTTATTTTTTTAGCTGAATCACTAATAACCAGCATTTATTGACTGTTGTGTGTTTAAAAGGCTTTGAAATCTCCTGCTCTTAACAATGTTGCTAATGAACAGTCAACTGTTCTAAAGTGCAGGTGTCTGAAAAGAACAAGAAGTTTCCAGGCTTCTGTAATCTATAAAATGTGTAATTAGTCTGTGAATATTTTGAGAGCTGCCTGTATACTGCTTAAAAGGCTAATTTGTAATTCATGCATGATAAAATAGACTTCTGTTTTTCTCTTCTGCAAATCTATTTCAATAATCAAAATCATATAAGAAAATCTACTTAATTACTATACATTTGTTTAAAAGAAACTAATAACTTTCATTTAGGTATCAATGTAAAAAGACAACATATTGATCAATTGATTCATTCCCAAAGTCAGTGCAAGACGTCAATCACACTACTCCTAATGATGTCTTAAAAAACATAAAGTTATGACAGTTTCTATTTTCAACAATGAAGTTTTTTAATGTGGTTTCTATGACAGCTGGTGAATGATTCCATTTAATAAATACAGCAAAATGAAAATCACATAAAAGTGACTGATAAAACTGAGTCACCTAACTCTATACTTGAAAGTAGTTCCATTGGGAATCTCAACAGAGATATAGACATAGCTAGTGTATAAAATACACTCATACCTGAGTTTTGTTTCTTATTTAAATATTATTAGTATTTCAAATAATTTTATGATCTAAGGTAAATAAATTACTTAAGCTTCTTTTTATGATAGTATGTGCATGACTTAAATACTGTATTTTTGGTTTTAAACATTATTTTCATATTTCTCCCAAAGGGATTCAATGGATTATCCCTACCATTAGGTTGGCACAAAGCTAAAAACTGTATGCCATAGTGTCATGAAAGAGAATAGTCAATTGTGAAATTGTATTTTTGCACGAATTTATATTTTTTAATATTGGCATATCAACTGTAAAGATAAGCTATAGCCAATATAACTTGAAGAATACAATTATGGGTCCTATGTAGTTGGAATATCAAGTTTTTTTTAAGTATACATAGATAAATACATTCATACATACATACATACATTTGTCATGGTACATGGCTGCTCCTCGGTTCTTATCCCCACTGAGACAAAGAATTGAAAGGCCAAGACAATAGTAAAGCAAAACAAAAAATTATTTAAGTACACTCAGAGAGGAAAGGGCCAGAGTCAGCATTGTCTAATGGGGAAGATCTCTTTTATTAAGCCCTAGGCAGCTTTGACTGACCTCTTTGACTGACAAGGTGAGGTCTATTAGATTAACAATTTTAGTCACGTAATTCTTTCTCTTAATGCACATCTTTTCCTAGAATGCACACAGAAAAACCCATGGGGGTGGGGGAGGAAAACTACAATGTGGATTTTATACTAATGAGATTATAATGAGGTAAGATTAAGCAGTGGTCAAGTTATCGTCTTACTGGGCCTGTGTGGTGATCTGGTTCGGACCAGCTAGCCCTGAACTTCTCAGAAAAGGAAGTTGTCCCCCCCATCTCCCACAAAGTTCTGTTTTTCCTCCATGGGGCCTCTAGCTAGGCATGGACTGGGCAGTTCTTTCCCTCCAAACCCTATCTCCTCTGACTACTCATATCGACCTTCCTACCTAACATACATATGCATTTATCTCACAACAATTTCCTGGACTCTTTTAATCAACATTGCATTTTAACAAACATTTACCAAATGCTTTTTATGAAACAGGCAGTGTTCCAAATGCTGTAATGTTAACAGTGAACAATAGTTATAAATCCTTATGTTTATAGCATTTATGTTTCAATGGGCTGTATGGGTAATGTACAAATATAAAAAGCATGTAATTAAATGTCAGTTGAGTAATAAAGGCTACAAAGAGAAAGGAAATAAATGGCTAGAGAATGGCAAGGGATGTGGTTGGTCATGACGTTTGCTATTTTATCTGTGGAGTCAGGCTAGACGTCTCTGAGGAGGCAGCAGAGGAGGCCACTTCTGTGGAAGTGGCCTGGTGATGTCTGGTAGCGAGAGCGAGCAGGCAGGGACAACCCGCCGGTTCTACAGTGGAATCTCCCTTTCCACACCATGCTAAGGTTCAGAAAGAAGACAACTGTGCGTAGAGCTGACTGAGAAGATGTGAAAAATGAGATTAGGTCATGGTAGTTTAAATAAGTCATTTTAAGGACTTTGGATTTTATTCCAAATGTGACAGGACACTATTGTAGGATTTTGAGCAGGGGAAGCTATGGAGGAAATATCTGCTTAATAACCCAGATTTTTTTTATTATCATGGACTCAGAGGGATTTTAATAGGAAATCCACTATCTACAGAACATACCATATTTTCAAGTGCATAGGAAACATTAATCAAGACCACAGTAAAATTCAAAATATTGAAATTTTCCAAAATATATTTTCTTACCAACTTGGAAGTAAATTAAAAATTAATAAAAATAATATAGTAAACATTTCCTCATATATTTGGAAATTTAAAAATGGCCCGTTAGATAACTCTTGGATCTAAGCAAAATTAGAAAATATTTCAAACTATATTCTAATAAGAATTTAAGATATAAGTGTTTGTGAGAAGCAGCTAAAACATTGCTTAGAGGGAAAATTACTACTTTACAGTGCTATATTAGAAAGGAAGAAAGACTTAAAACCAGTATTCTAAATATCCACCTCAAGAACAAATGAGTAAAATAAATAGCCATTGTATACATTCATTGTCAATACCAAACAAGATATTATTGTGCCAGTTTTTTAGATGAGGTACAGAGGATTTAAGAAACCCCGCTAAGGTCATAGAGCTAATAGGTAGAAGAGTCAAAATTCGAATCTAAATTTGTCTCCATGACTCCCAATCCATCATACCTGTGCCATCTTTGTTTTTCAATCCTGAGTAAGTAACAATGAAAGTAAAAAGATGAGAGGAATTACTAGTGCACGTTTTGATGGAGATGTGAGGGAAAGTGGTGGTATTGCCTTCTGCATACCAAAGAGATCCTTTCTATTTTTTCATCCCAGGTGTTGCCACTCTATAAATAATTGGCCAAATTAAAAAGTGCTTGGCATTACACTTAGTACTTTTTGGAGGGAAAGCAAGTCCAATCTTGGGGCCTAGGTGGTGGGCAAAAAATGAGAATTATGTCAGTTTAGATAAGAAGAGATACAGCAAGTCAACTGAGGGGTAGGGCTCTGATTTCAGCAGTGGTAAGAACCACAAGAAGGCCATGGATACAGAAAAACTGATGCCCCCAAAGATACACAAATGGGGATGGCCCAGGGGGTTGGCCCAAATGTATATACTGAATTCTTCAAGCTATGAAGATTTACTCTGTGCTTTTAAAGTATTCCCTTGATGTAATTTTGCCTATGTTCTTCACATAAATTTTGTGGTTAAAAAATAGGTTTAATTCCAGGTATCATATAAGAAGACACTGTACTAGTTTGGATTAAAATTAATTCAAATTTAATTTAATTTAAAAAATTAAAATTAATTTTAACTGTATGTGGCAGAAAACCTCAAATCACTGTAGCTTAAGTGAAGTAACAGAATATTTGTTTTCCATGGAAAGTCCAAAAGTAGGTGATCAAAGGATAGTTTGTTGTGAAGAACTCAGACTCCCTCTAGCTCTGTACTGTGCTGTGGGTGATGGTGATTCTCACGATTACCTGATGTACTAAAATGGCTGCTGGTGCTCCAGCCCTCGTATTCCAGCAGAAAGCTATAAAGAAGAGGGAAAGACTGGCATTTCCTGACTCTTTAATGCTATCTTTTACTTTTATTGAGATATAATTGACATATAACATTATGTTAGCTTTAGGTATACAGAATGTTTCAATATTTGTATATATTATGAAATGATCACCACAGTAGGTCTAGTTATCATCTGTCACCACACACAGTTACAAATTTTTTTTTTTGGTGATGAGAACTTTTATCATCCACACTCTCAGAAACTTTCAAATGTGCAATGCAGGATTATTAACTATCGTCCCCATGCTGTACATTATATCCCCTAAATTTATTTATTTTATAACTGAAAGTTTTTACCTTTTGACAACTCTCACCCATTTTTAATGCCATCTTTTGGACTTTGCTAACAGCCTTGATTTAATCCTGCTTGGCAAGATCCCAGCTTGTGACGGTGGCAAGAGTATTTTTCTTCCGGGCAGCCGTAGGCCAGCTAAGCATTGAATGGTCTACTACTGTGGCAGAAGGAAATGGTGACTAAGGAGGGCGTGAACTCCTTGCCGTCCACAGAATTTAGAGAATTAAAAGTCGCACAGACACAGCGAACACATTGAACATAATGTAGCTAGGGTTACCGGTAATTTTTTTTCTGTAAATCACGAGTAATCATATCCCATTGTTTCCTTTTATTTCTGCTCACAATTTTGCCAAATCAGATGAAAGAAAACAAATGGTCTGTGAAGTTACTTTTTACCTTCTGTTTTTGTCCCCTTCCCTCCACAGGTATCACTACAGTTCTGACTATGACAACTCTGAGCACAATTGCCAGGAAATCATTACCGAAGGTTTCTTACGTGACTGCGATGGATCTCTTTGTTTCTGTTTGTTTCATTTTCGTGTTTGCAGCCCTGATGGAATATGGCACCTTGCATTATTTCACCAGCAACAAAAAAGTAAAGACGACTCGAGATAGAAAGCTAAAAGAAAAAGCCTCGGTATGTTCAATATCTCTATTTTATATACAGCAACTGACTATTAGAGATACTATTTTGAATACCTGCTATACTCCCTTAGAGTAATATGAATGCTTCAGGTGCCCTGAAAAAAGATAAACAAAATTAAGAGGAAACTGGAGTACCCAATATTGCCCACCAAGGGAAGTGTACCTATGCTTCTCCTTAGAAAAGACTCTTGGATTACCCTTGTAAAGGGTGGTTTCTTATGCTGTGAATTTTCCCCATGTTGTAGAGTCTTTGTACCTAAAAAAAATTTGCTTAAAGATCTTTATTTGATTCTATTTTTGTGTTAGGATTTATACTTCTAACAACAGGAGGCCCACAAAATTAACTTGCTTTTTAGAGAAAAAGATTCCTTTTTGATGTTAGTATTCAAATGTGTTTGAAAGTCAGAGCTCTTTTGGTTCTTGCACATTTGTACTCTCTGATTACCTCTTCCCAATCATTTATGTACCTTAACTTATATAGTATCAAGTTGATAGATTATCATTAATTCTGTTGTTTCCAAGACTCCTAAGTGTTGGATGATTGACTGTAATTTCTTATTACAATGGCAGCTATAAGCACCTTAAAGTAACAGCTGACGCTGAGTATGCCAGGCATTCCTCCAAGTATTTTACATGTATGATTTTATTTTTGCTCATATGAGTTCAACTTCAGAGGAAATGATGACTCCAAGGCTCAGACCAAGGTCTTTTTAGGTGCCAGAGCTCAAGCTTATAATCCTTCCTTTGTGTTTCCTGTTCTCATAGTGCTCAGAATAGTAGACAACTGTTTCTCCAGTATTAACAAAGTAGTACTCAGAAAAGTAGACAACTGTTTCTCCAATATTAACAAAAAAAGCATTTCACTGCTGATTCCATTAGATGTTTTCAAAGCAGATTTGTTCCAAAATGTCCAAATAAATAAAAACTGCATAAAACAGCTGTGCATGGGAGGCAAGTTTCTCAGTCCACCAGAATGTGCATGTAATGAGACATGGGATTTTCCTTATTATCTCCCAACTTTAAGTTCTAGAATTCAGTGCTTTCCCCCCTCCTCATTTTTCATTGGTTTCTTTCTAACACTTTGCCATACTTTTAAATTATATTTTACTTTTCATGTTATATTTAAAGAACTGAACCCTTGTGTATTTGCTTTCGAGTTCCCACAATCTTCCAAGAAAGCAGAGCATGTTGCTGGCGACACATATTTGAGAACTTATATTTAGGGTTATCCTGTGACTTCCTCAACTTGGATTCTCTTAGCCTGTCCATAAGACATATTATGGCCCCAAATGGCATATTTGGCCCCCCAATAAGAGCTTCAGAGGGTAATGATATTAAATTTAATGTCTACTTGCTACATTTTTAGGTAGAGAAAATTCAGGTTTTCTACTGTTTTACTTTCATCAAAGCCAAGCATCCTTTCTGGGTTTACCATCTCGTCAGCTACTCATCCATAGCTATGCTTCATTATTAGCTTGAAATTTTCATTTCTGAAAATTGTAAATGAAAGTTAGGCAATGTATAATTTCACATAGATTCTCTCATTTCTTTCTAAGAATCTATAATATAGGTACTATTGTTATATTTTCTAAGGTCACTCAGACAATAAGCAGCTACTCTAGGACTGCAGCAAGTCAGTATGACTCCAGATTGTGCACTCTCAACCATGTGACCTCACAGTGCAGTTACTCAGAAAGCTGAAACATTGGAGTACAAACTTTAAATTATGATGTTAATTTAGTTACTCATTCACCAAATATTTATCAAAGATACTCATGTTCTAGGCACTGTTCTAGAATAGATACTATATGTTGAGTATTTTAAAATAAAGCATCAGACACAAGAAGCAAAATAGTGAAGATGAAAAAAAAGGAAATGGGAATTATATGAGATCTCTGAAGCACTAAATTTCAAATACCAAAAGTTAAATTGACAAAATTTACTACCTGGGTTAAAAAAATATTTTCTTTAGAATCACCCAAAATGAATTAACATAGTCTGTTCTTTCTGTTCATTTATATGAGCTCTTTCAATACTAAGTGACATTATGAGTGAATAACTAGGATCAGTAATCAACTCTGACTCCCTGCCTGGTTCAGTGTTCAGCAATGTGGTCTTGCTAATCTGATAAATCAGAATACACTTTCATGGAGAATAGAAAGCTCTGCTTGCTGTTTTCTCAAATGTTCTATTTCAGGGCTTTGTGGAATCTGTTTTGGCTTCTGCCAGCCAGGACAATCAAATGCACAACTTAAGATCCAGAAATCTTGTTGCATTTTGCCTTTACCCCTGTTTCAAATGTTTATCGTCCTTCCTCTCTTTCTTTCTCCATCCTTCCATATCCCCACTTTATTTTACAAGGTTAAAATTCTGAGTAGTTTAAAAACCAGCATTTTCTCTTTTTTCCTTTAAGTTACTTATGGCAATAGTCAGGCCAGAGCTGAAGACATTGACTAGAGACACTTAAATGTCTACATGTCTGTTATTAAACAAAACTTAAATCCCCTCCCTGACATTTTTTTGACTGCTTAACCAAGAATAGCAGAATACCCCAGTTTAATTTCTTTAGTAAGAGACATATTTTGAGCATAAGATTTTTACCTTCAGTGAACTCTCTAAGTTAATAAAGATGCTTTGTACCTTCCTCTCCACATGATATATTGGGCTTTTCTCTCTCTCTTTCCCTTCCTTACATGTTCTGTTTCTCTCTCTTTACCACCCTCTTTTCTTCCCTTCCTTCCGTGCTTACATCCTTAAGTCCTTCTTTGCTTATTTCTGTAATTTTTCTTTTTTTCCTTTTTTATTGTGAATGTCAATGACATGGTATATAGACCCATTCTATTGGATGGGTCTATATACCCATCCACTTATATTAGAATCTACTTATTAACAATATCTTAATGTTTGTAAATTTCTATTTTTTAAAAGTCTAAGAAGTTGTGTATTTTAGAGCATGGAAACAGGACTCTTTATAGGACAGGTAGAGGTCACAGAATTGCAATAGTAGTAACCAGTCACTACCAACTAAAGAGTGGTTCATGTTGAAACTAGAATATTCAGCCCAGGGATGATAACAAATCTCAGAAAATCATGTTATACCTGCATGAGGAGCCAGATAGACCCATCTGAGGTTAGAACTCGGAGCAAAGTTCCCCTGCGTGTTGGGCTCTAGGAGGATCCCTACAAATTCCCCTTTGATTTGAACACAGTACAACAGATTATTTTTGTTGTATATTCCTAGCATATAACTGTTTCTAAAACATCTTGAAGTATAGTTTTGTAATGTGAGCAACTTTTTTGGTTTTAAATATACTAATAAAATATCTATGGTTCAGATTTTTAGAAACTGATACAGTATTGTATTTGTCTCATCTGATGCACTATATTTCAATCTATAATTAAAATAATTGGTTTGTTGTGAACAAAATGAGATTATTTGTCATCTTTCAATTGGTTAAAATGTAAAATGATGGAAATTTATGTCAACAACCATGGATAAAAAAATGAAAGAATGTGTTCTCTACTTTCAGGGATTTTTACATCTAGTTGTGGAAAAATACACCAGAAATATAAGATAATAACTACACTACAAATAACAGTCCAGTACAAAATTCAAAAATAAACAAAGATAAAGATAAGGGAATTAGCAATTAGATGACTGGTTTCAAGTACTTTTCCAGAAGCAGAATATGTTCTATAATGAGTATGAATAAAAAATATTTTAAAGGAGATGTTCTTACTGGACTAGAGACAGACACCACGAAGGCTGGCCTACATGGTTCATCCTCTACACTGAGGAAGTCTTAATACACCAGGTAATATGGTCCGTGAAATCCCGACAAGCACACAGTCAGTCAGGAGGGGTTCTGTCAGTGTGAGCCAGAGTGGAGTGGAGTGGCTTCCTTTCCCTGCAAGTATAAATAATTCATTCAGAAAACTATAAACTAATTCTCCCAAAGGGAATTGGAGAGAGAAAATTACAGAGAAAGTGTGACATCTTTGAGGTTCTTTGAAGACTACGTTGCACTTTGGGGAAGAACATATCAGAAAGAACATTTCAGACAGCCGGAAGTCATGTGAGCCACAGCAAGGTTCACTGCACGAGTGAGCATAGACTGCCGTGTGTTCCTGGGTGTGCTGTCCAGTATAGTAGCCATTGGCCATATATGGCTAGGTTGATTTAAATTAATTAAATTAATGAAAGCTTAAAATTTAGGAACTTATTAGCATTAGTACATTTCAAATGCTCAGTAGCTACATGTAAAACTAGTGGTTACCATATTGGACAGTGCAGATATAGAACATTTTTATCATGAAAAAGTTCTGTTGGACAATGTTGGTTTGGAACATAGGGATCTTAGAACAAAAATAGGTTGAAGATAGAAAAGTGGCTTTTGGCCGACTTGTAGAAAGCACTATGGTAAGAAATTTAAATTTTGTCCTGTCAGCACTGGTAAGCCATGCATGTTTTTAAGTAAGATGGTGTCTTTGTATCAATGTTTCTGAAAGCTAATAAGTAGCATATAATATACACTTGGTAGAAAAAAGGCAGGGAGATAAATTTGGAGACTATTGCAATAATTCAAGAAGTAGTATATTACTGAGAGTCACAACCAGAGTTTTAGAGATAATGTGTGGGATTTTTGTTTGTTTTATCCATAATCCCCAACCACAGCCCTTTTTCTGCAAAGAAAAGGTCTTTTCAGTCAATGCATTTCTACATGAATAAACATTTGTCTACCTTTCAGAAAACTAAAACAATGAAGATCTGTATCAGACAGTTTCACAAATTACAAACCTTTTTTCCTATAATAGAATTTGCCAAAACTCCTAGGAGGGGTCATTTGATATTGGTGAAATGTGAAATACAGTAAGAAGGCTACTTAAATAATTGTAGAGTCTGTGAATGTGTAAGTTTTCAACAGGTAAGCATTTCATACCAAATGTAACATTGGTCAGACAGTGCTCTCTGGATGTGTATAGATACCATCCCTAATAGCTCTTTTTCTACCTTTAGATTTCCAAATAACACTCCTTTATAATTTTCTTCCTACTGAAACCATAGATTACTACAGCTGGAAGGGACCAGATTAATCAGGAGTAAAAATCTCATTTAAAAAATGAATTTTAATACTAATACATGTACATGATTGAAACACATAATCAAATCAAACAATGAAAAATCTACAAATGAAGAATAAAATTCTCCACCCTGTACCTTTGGTGCCAGCCCTCAGATTTAACCACATTTGATTATTTCCATTATGCTTATAATTCTTGATGCTAACTTTTAGAATAATTTTAACTCTTTGGCAAAAAATAATACGAAAACATAGCCTTCTCGTGGTCTACTGCCTCGTCTCTCTTTCAGTAGTTTATCTTCCCATTAATAGTTATCATATTGGTTAATTAAAAAAATTTGAATAATACACTTAAATTTCTACTTCTTAATTCACCAATAATGCTGATTCTAATGCCAATCTGATTATCATTTCTTAACTGGTAAACAGTTTTCTTACCTAAAATTTTTTGCCATCATCTGTTTCTCTACAGTGTGAAAATTTCTTAAGAGGCAGCACACTTTCTGTTTTGCGACCTCCTTCATTTCATCAGTACTTCAGTACTTTATTTCCCTGTCTTCTTTTCTGATAATTTTGTTGATTCTTTATTCCAGTTCATTTCTCTTTTCTCCTCTAACACTATATATTAGGTGAATTTTAGACCTCCTCAGCTAATTATTCATGTGATTCAGATTTTCTTTTTATCATATTTTTCATTGAGGTATTCTTATTCTTTTTTCCTGTATGTTGTGGGCAACTTCCTTCCTCAAGATTTTATTTTATAACACTTTAGATTTTTCTTTAATTTATAATAACGTCTTCAATTTCTGAGAGCTTATCTTTTTGAACTGTGCTCCCTCCTTTTTTCCTTAAATGAACACAATATCTCTTCAAGTGTATCTTAGTGAGATAATTAGATTTCATGTTCTCTTATGTTTCCTGAATTATTAGAATCAGTTATTCTAGCTGTTTATCTTTCTTTCTTTTTTTTAATCTCTGAAGTTCTTGGCAAATTCTTCCCATAGGCCCTGTATGCTTGGCATGTAACTGTTGAGTTTGCCTGTCAAATTTCACTTACATGTGTATATGGGGTGCATGGCATCTGATTGCTTCCAAACAAATACACATAAGCTCTAAGTGACGATGAAGGTTTTACTAGAACATTCTCATACCAGCTTCAGGAGTCCTAATCCTTCCTGCAGGTGTGAGGTTACTTATTTATCTTTAGAAGTTCCAGAGTTCTAACTATGAGCACAAACCTGTCAGCATCTCTGCTTCTCAGCATACAAGAGCAGATGACCAGTGGTTCAAACAGGAGCAGCTGTTCTGGAGAACTGTGTTTTCCATCCTGGTTGTCATTCCCATTACTCCTACCTTAGGATGAGTATTTCTGAAGCTTTGATGGAGAAAAAAGCTGTGGCATCCATGTTCTTATTTCCCGAGCTGCTTCTGCAGTGTGACTTCCTGTGGTCTACTTTATCCATTAGCCTATTTCCAATCTGTTCTTTGTCTTTCAAAATCTCATCACAAATTCTGACATGCTGATTGGAAGCTCAGTATCACCAAGATCCACCTTATGTCTATTTTTAACACTCATGTGGATTTTGTAATTTTTGAAATCGTGATTGATACTTAAATGGATTTTGTGGAAGTGGAGGGGAGAAAGCCTGTGCTTAGCTGGCATTCTCACATACAATGTTTTAAATGAAAAATTAATAAGAGTAACATTAGTATTTCATAATCAATAACATGACTTAATAATGCTATTCATATTAATCATATTGAATAACATTAATGATAAGAATACATGACATAAATAGTAATTATATTATGTAAATATGTATATAGATAGAATTTGTATGTAAATGTTTTATTTACTGTTTATTTGATATTAGTATGTCTTGATGCTTAATTATATTTTGAATATTTAACTGTATTATTAATATATATGTAATATAGCATACAATATATAACCAGACACATACACATCTTTAATAGTGAGAATGGAGTCAATTTCTACAAATGTCAAGTTCAGCTATATTCATATATTATTCAGTGGCTTTTTGAAATAAAAAAAGATACACTCTCAAAACTGCATCATTTAAAGTAAAAAAAAAAAAGCCTATTCACTTATGTTATTTTTTTATATTATTTAAACAATTTTTTTTCAATGCTTGCTATTTGTGGGGAGCAGCAGTATATTTACTTGAGAAATTGTAAGATGGGTAATATAGTCACACTTACGATAAATAAGGTTTGGAATGTTTATGTTCTTCCAATTAATTATTTAGTGATTTCCAGGACACAAATCTGTGTGTCAAAAACATTTTATTTATTGATATTGTGTCAGCTCTTTGGATATTTTTCCCAGCACACATAAAGTCTACTTTTATCCACATTAATCATTTTTTGAAGTGCAGTTTCTTTCCATTTATGAATTTTTGTGTTTTTTCAGGCAGGGGTGGACAATAGAAAACTGGAAAATGTCAACTTAAAGTGTCATATCAATAGAAGCTCTACTTGATTTTGACCACCAGAGTTTAGTCCATTTTTTAAGTGAAACACTTGCAGTTTTTCTCCATTTCTGTACACTTGAGTGTTAACTATCCTTCTCAAGCACAATTAATATCTTTTGACGAAAAGCCTTTCCATTTATGGCAGTGCTAAGTGATACATGAAATGTGTTTTATGCCATATAACCTTGAAATTGCCAACTTAACAAACTTGCACTCTAATCACATCAATCTGATTAGCATCTGAACATATTCTGTTTAAGTTTTAAGTGACAAGGAAATGAATATCAATTTGTCCCATTTTTGTACATAATTTTAGTGCTCCACTAAAATTTAGGAGTCTAGTCAAGTATACCCAAGAGTCAACCTCAAAAGATCTGTCATTAACATTTAGTAATAAACAGCCTCTGCTTGTTAGGATACATCTAGGCAAGTGGAATCATGAATTTATTTGTGTTTAGGCATTGCTTCTTATCTTCAGGCTGCACATTTCGTTTCTTCTAATATGGATAGTATGATTTGTAGGATGCATTCATTTCTTTAAAATATCCCTAATGTGATTTTTTCTTCTTTTTTGCATCTGAATTTTTTATATTTAGTAGTTGGATTCTATGTTTCTTTCTAGACATAAAATGCATTTAACAATACGTCCAAATTTTAAGAAGTTCTCAATTTTTTATTTCAAATTTTTAAGCCTTTCCCATATAATATTTAGTTTCATGTCCTTGAGCTTTATTTATTTCAAAATTTAGGATGAAAAAAATTTACAGACATTTTTCCTTTGAAGGAATGTAAGATCAGATTAAAAGTTTTTTTATAATCTAAGTATCTACTTAGTGTTTAGATAATAAAACCACTGGCTATAGTAAGTTGTAAGATTTATATTTTAAGATAATTCCTGAAATATGCAGAAGTTCTAACAGATTAAGAGTTACTAAAACTGTAATCTTCATATTTGCTTGCCATTTTATTTAAGAGTTCATGAATATTTTTCCCCATAACATTGTTGATGAGGTCCAGGTCTTTATGTGGTGGTTGTTATTACTGTTGCTTGTTTTAGCAGTATGTATTTTATAGCTGACGTATCCTCTTCAGGAATCAACACTAGCAATGACAATAAAAGCAACATAAATATTACCTTTTGGCAGCTGAAATACTTGCTGTGTTTCAAATATTTTCTTGGCACTTTATGTGCATCATCTCAATTACGAAACAGATTTATGTATCGTTATTGTGAATTTTGTGCAACACAAAGCACAGCAGCAGAAAGGCAATCCCATTTCCCACTCAAGGTAACACAACTCCACTGAGCAGAACTGGAATTTCTGCCCAAGCCTGTCTGACTCCAGTGTGACTGTTTTAACATTCTGTAGTGTGGTGGACATGTTTGATTTTTTTATACTTTCGGTTCTTTTTATTATTTAACTATCTTTCAGAACCTGGTATCATAAAAAGTTAATTTGGTAAGTGTCTCAAATAATCCTAATAGTATTATTAGTATTACTGGGCAAGTGGAGGACAGATCATTTTACATAAATTATGAAATTTACTCATTACACCAGCACAAAAATCAGGTGCTAATATAACTCCAGCTGTGAGGGCAGCTGCATAGGCAGAATGAGCCAAATTTTGAATACCGGTTGTTCCCAAACCCGAGCTTTCACTCCTGCATGTTCTCTTTCCCAAATACGATGCCTTGTGCTGACCCACTACTACAAACCCTGGATCTTTTTTTATTCACTCGCAGCTTCTCAAAGCTTTTCTGCATTATCAAACTGTCGTCTTTCCCATTTGTTGTATCATTAAAATAAATTATGTAACAGCAAACAAACTTAATAGCATTGTAAATGTTTTAGTACAAAAATATCATAGAAATACACCGTTTATTTTCATTTTAGAATTAGATTCATGTTTAACAATATTTTAGTGGATCAACTTTCTCAAGGTTGAAAAACTATTTCATTTTTTAGGGTTTTTCCTCTGTGTGATCTTTGGAATGTACAATAATATTATGTTTTACAAAGTAACTTATGATCTAAAAACACATTAGGATTGAATACCTCTTTGATTTTTGGAATCCAAGATCATTGGTATTGCGTGTCACAATCTTTTAGAGGTTGCCTTGAGGGGACATATCAGATTGATCTTTCTTTATGCTATTTTGTTTCCTCAAAAACGAATTTGTTATTTTACTCAGGTGTCCCCTGGACTCCATCCTGGATCCACTCTGATTCCAATGAATAGCATTTCCGTGCCACATGGAGAAGATGACCATGGATATCAGTGTTTGGAGGGCAAAGACTGCGCCAGCTTCTTCTGTTGCTTTGAAGACTGCAGAACAGGATCGTGGAGGGAAGGGAGGGTGCACATACGCATTGCCAAAATTGATTCCTATTCTCGAATATTTTTCCCAACAGCTTTTGCCCTGTTCAACCTGGTCTACTGGGTTGGCTACCTTTACTTGTAAGTTCTACTTAATAGGCAAAACTCATAAGAAGTTTGACAAAATCCAGTGTCATCTATTATACTTCAGTAACAAGAGGTTAAAATTTAAAATGCAGAGAAACCAATGGTCAAAATGCCAACAGTATTATTAACTGTTTTAGGGACTTCATGGTTAAATAAAGTAGTAGCCTTTGTGTTAATTTACTTAAACATATAAACCACATTAGTGGCAAAATTCAGTATATTAAAATAATATAATATATTTTTACCTTAATTTTATTTACTTGTATCTCATTAGAATTTTGTATTTATAAATTTTATGGTTCATATTTTAAAGATGGGATAATTTTAATACATGTTTTATTTAAATATAATCTATCATTGTTTGTAATGGCAACCTAATCTAATGCTAATATTTATGTAGTAATTATTTGCCAAAAAAATACTGGTAAATTTATTTTTTTTCTTACTTTTTATTTGATTGCCCTATTTAGGATAGAGCTAGTTTAATACAGAAAGCCATGATTTCCTGGGATTTATTTCCAGATGTTTCACTCCAAAGAAGAAATTAAAGAAGAACAGGACAATTTTTAATCTTTATTTAATCAAGACCATTTCCTGGCACAGTATTAAGTAAAACTCCAGTTACATTTAATTTTGGTGATTTACAAACTAGAGTGGAAGTCACCAAAATCAGTCTCTTAAATGTAAGGAGAAAATAAAAATGGAAGAATGGTATATTTAACTATTTTATTCTCTGCCTGCCTAATAGCATTTATGAAGTATGAATAAGTCAGCGCTGTAATACTTAGATCTACCAACACTGAAATTAAATGCAGAGAGAGCTAATTTTTTCTTTATGCTCTACAAAAGTGTTACATTCCCTAAATTAACAAAACATTGAGGAAGACTGCTTATATTTACTCATTATGGCTAAAGAATTATTATCTAGCAAATTGCATAATAGTTCACATTCAGGATATGGTCTTATATGTACTATTAGTATTTTCAGACTGTAAATATACTGGAAACATGGTTTTAGGTATATGTTATATATTGCCTTTTCCAGCTCCTAAGTTTGTACCTGTCAGTTTTACGATTTTGTTGTAAATGGGTACGATGTTCTCTTTTCAAGGAAATGGTGCAAGGCCCAAAAGTCATGTTAAAGGTGGGGTTCTGTTAGAGGCATCTCTAATGAACATTATAGGAGCTCTCTAAATTCTCTGAGACAGGAACAGAGAAAGTCTCACTGTAGTTTAAAGCCTGTTGGTTAATAGTTTCCAAAATGTCTCTTGTTAAAAGGAGAGTTAAAGTAGTCTTTAATCATTATATCCTTGTGACTAGTTTGACATATGAATTGCTTAAAAGAGCACCGTATTAATTTACCATGACCTAATTTTCTGGAAACTCACCAGAGTGATCTTGGAGATAGCCTTTAAAATTGTTCCCAGTGCTAAGAGCTGCTATGAGGATGAAGAGTCTTATGATCAAGGTCTATCTTACAGTATGTGGAGGAAACCATGCACTTGACATTGTATTTTTAATATGGTAATTCTCCCACATGGTTAGCAAATACACAAATGAAGCTCTGTCATGGTTATACTTATATTTTTAGAGTATATAAGTTTTCTTAAAATCTAGAAATATTTCATTGTGTTCCCCAGCTAAATCTGAATTTTTCAGATTTGATCAAAACCTCTGAAGAAAGTAAGCATGTATTGAATGATAATGCCCCAAATAGCCACCAACACTGCTTTTTCTGAATGAACAGCTGGATTATACTTTAGCCATGTCTGTAGTCACTTACAAATTGTCCATGAATTCGTTTTTGTAACATTGAGTATTGATAGCTATTGTGAAGGTGAACATTTATTTAGTGATTTAGTGAAGAATGAAGTACCCATGAAGAACAAATCACTTCACTAAAATGTGCTGTGGCTATTTCCATGTTTTGCACTATAGCCTGTTCATTATCATGGGGGCAATTTTAACTCTGGGATTCTTTCAAGTCTTTCTGAGCATGACTGTGTTTTAAAATACTTAAACGTGCTTAATATAAATAGCTTTGATGTTCTCCTTGCTGTTCCATTAACTTGGCTTTAAATGCTGGCAACATTTACAAGTGAAAATCAAATTGATAAAAATATGAAAGATGTTTTTCTGTATGCATTCATTGTATAGACTATCAAAACAAAGCACTTTGCTTTCAAAGCCAGTGGTGTTTTAAGCAGTTTTATTTAACTATGTAGATCAGAGAGATGTACAAATCTTACTATTTGTAAAAGGAAGGATAAGAAGGTGAAAATAGTTAAGCTTTTCTTACATGAAATCAAATTGAGCTTATTTTCAAAGGGAATGCAGTCTAATTCCTGTTCCTCTCTTTCTTTCAAGAAATTTTACCAACTTGAGAAATAATTTTTTGAAAATCTCTCCTTTCTCCAGATGAGTTATGTCCTAATTTATTTGATTCACAACTTGTGTGTCCTAGCTGCTTTTAAATGTTTTTAACACTAACATAGATCAAAAAATGTGGATAGAGAGGATCAGAAGAATAATGAGAGCAGAAGAATATAGAACCTTTTGGTAAATTGTGAATTCACATAGACCCATCCTCTAAATATGAGACCATGACCTAGAATTGCCCAAAAAGGAAACTGTGACTGGTACAATTTTATTCTCTTGAATTTATAATTGAATGATGATGTTTTATTTATTCTTAAATTACATAGATAAACAGACCCCCTTTAAATTAATTTCTAAAATGCCAAGTAGTTTCTGAAAGAGCAAAACATGACAAAACAAAACTTTAAATGACTTGAGAACTCAGTAGGGAAAAGTCACAGTTCCTCAGTAAATCTAGGGTAAATCTGAAGTGCTAATGTATGTAGAAATTAGTTCATCAAATACATTTTATTCTAAGTTATACACATCAATTTCATTAAGGAGTTGTTAAAACTAGCTTTAGGTTGAAACACAGGAAATGTGTGTGTATGTGTATATATATATATATATATATATATATAGACAGTTACTAGTTTTTTTCCTTTAGTGTGTTTGCATATTCTAACATCAATATATAGTCATAAAATATGGTATATTTTTGCCTAAGAGTAGGCCAGAAATGAGGGCTCCATGGTTGCCAATAATTCAGCATTAAAAAGAATGCTTACATCAAGAGTCCCACAATAGTAAAATGTGAAATGGCATTCCAAGTCAGCGTGACAAATGCATCTTGCACTTTGGTTATGTAAGAGGACATTCAGATAGGATGATCTGTTTGAATAAAATTTTAACTCATAACCAATAACTCAGTAAACACCTAATAGATGAATACATCATATATAAAATGACCAAAATTCTATACCAGTACCTAATTTCACTCTTCCAAAATTTCCTGTACCAAGTACCACATTTGAAATTATTTCAGTGATCTTAGCAGTGTCCTCGAAGTGATCCAATAGATGTTTAAAGGTTTAGCATTTTTTCCCATCAAAAACATTTTGAAAATATTTCTGACCAAGCTATTTTTCTTTACATCATTAAGCTTATTTATTTACCTCCTCAGCATCATGCCATATGAAGCTCTAGACACACTTGGTATTATGTTTCTGTTGGTCATCATTTTTTTTTACTGCTAAGGAGGGCTTGACAAGCTACTGTAAAGTCACAGAAACCATTATCAAGTCTCTATCCAAAACATTTCAAATGTGGTCTCCAAATACTAGTGACCACATTACTCTAGCAAATGTAAGGTCAGTTCTGCCTTTCTGTGTTTGCATGAAAGTGATAGAACCCAATTTAAATATTTATATAGCACTTTCTATGTATAAGGCATTGATATAGATACAGTAGAGAATATGTAAAGATGAACTCTCAAGGAACATTAGTCATACAGTTGAAGAGAGGGAGGATAACTCTGGAAATGTTTCTCGGAGAATATGTGTTTAGAAATGGGAGCTTGAGAATTCAGTCTGTCAATAGATGAGGTCAACACATCACACTTAATAGTTGAGTAAACAGCTTGAACAAAGAAACAGAAGCAAATGTACAGATAAAATTTCCATTTAAGTTAAGGTTAAGATTCATATAGAGATATTAAAGGTGAGGCTAGAAAGGTAAGTCAAGGTCTATAGTGGATAGGCAAGAACACAAACTTCAGGAGGCTGGAGGATATTATAAATTCATGGAGAGTTCTGGAACTTACTGGAGTACAAAAGAACTATTATTAATACTGCAGAGATTCCATCTTATTGCTGTGTGATGTTTGAAGTAAGAAAAGCCAGTTAGGAAGTTACTGTAATATGTGAGGTGAGAGAGAATGAAGGTCAGTACTCTGTTCATACAAGTTTAGTGGCAAATGGGGAAAGATAGCCCCTGAATTTAAAGAAAAAAATGGCAGATATGAAGCTGTGATCAGCAGTCAACATTAACAGAGTAGCATGGTGTGTGTGAGGGAAGAGGGTCTTGTATTAAATAGTATGTATTTGTGTGTAAATAGACACTTAAACACAACAAGGAAATTCTGGATGTATTACAATCTTATTTGATGTTACTTTGAATATTTTAATCAAATGCATATTTTTTTATCTTGATCTATGTTTCTCCCACAATAGGAATGAAGAAAAAGAGTGATCTCTTGAAGTACAAATCATAAAACAGATCTTTCTACATTCTTTTTTTAAAAAATTTTGTTCTTCATTAAAAGGGCTTTCTTTTCAAAAAACTTTCTCTTCTTTTTTTCTAAGAAAAAAATAAAATAGTGTGGACAAAGAGAGGAAGGGAGAACTGTGAATAGAAGTAGGCTGCTGTAGGACCCGATATCCCAGAAGTTGATTTCTGATTCTTAATTTCTGAAGTATTTGTGTCAAAATAAATAAATAATTTCTTTACTGTTGGACTATGAAACGTACCTGGTACCTTTGAGTCTGTGAATAGTTAAGAAAAGCCTGTGATAAATTAATGCAGCTCATTAAAAAGGACTAATTAATGGACTTTAAATACATGGTTGACCTAAATGTAAATAGTCTGCATGTGGATAAATTACTTGTGTTCTTTGTGTTAATTGTGTCCATTAAGTGTATGTAGTCACTTAGTATAATAGTTTTATGGCTTGTGATTGTAGTAGTTGCTGGTGTCTGCTTCTGCCTCTCATTTTGGGGAGCATCCTGTGAGTGTGCGGCAGAGGTATCTCCAAGTTTTGTGTGCTTACATGATTCTAAGTGCAAAATAAACTCAGTAAATTGTTATGAAATAAAAGCTGATGCTTTCTTGAAATGTGTCTTTTTTTAATAGTTTTCCTATAGATAGGTCCATTTATTGTTTTAGAATATATAATCATGACTTTAGCATTGAAGTTAATTTCTGATCAATGTTATTTCACATTTTTCCAAGAAAATTAGTTTAAGGGATTCTTCTTGATAGGGTTCTGAAAATGAACTAAACTATGAAAGTTAGGTAAATAGAGTTAATTTTTATGTATGATTTTCACTGCAAAGACTATGAATTTCTGGGTTATGCTAACAACCTGTGATGTTGTTCTGAACTGCCAGATAATCTTCCCCAGGTGACTATATTAGCTAGGATTAATACCCGGGCCATTCTGAATACTTTGTGTTATGAAAACATTTTATTTCATGTGAGAAAACAGTGAAGGAAAATTAAAAGCCAGAAAATCAGGAAGGGGCTGTCTTCTGCTTCACCCTCCTAGTTCTCCATTCTCTGTACCAAGGTACAGTACTTAAAAAAAAAAAAGTTTGTGATTTTTGTCTTTAGGTCCAATGCTGTTTTCATACAGTGTTGAAAAAGGGGAGGATTTATTGTTTCCTGAACACCTTCTATGTGTCTGAAACTTCAGATGCATTATATGTTAATTAATAATTTAGTCTTCCAAGCAAAAAGCTCTATTTAACAGATGGAAAAACTGAGCCTCAGATACATACTCCAGCCACATATATCTGTAATCTGAAATTAAATTTAGGTACCTCTAGCTGTAGATACCGAGTTCTTAAATTACATGGAACTACTCTGACAAAGTGATTATTCATATTTCAACACTGAAAAGGATTCCTTCACAAAAGAAAAGTTTAGACCTGAAAAACAACCAAGTCGATTGTGTTTAAAGCATAGAAACACTGTAATTCTATAAGAGCATAATCTTTTTTATCTCCTTACTTGTTAATTCCATTGTGGACTTAATTTCAGTTGACACATTTTAAACATGTACTAGAAGTGTACTGAAAAATTAACCCTGCTGTCTAATCAAATATCATACAGACTACTGACTTTTAGAAAAAGGGTTAGTGAACTATGGCTGCAGTCACAGTTATTAGAACACAGCCACACCCATTCACTTACATGATGTCTATGGCTACTTTTGCACAATGATGGCAGAGATGAGCAGGTGCAACGGAAATGGAGGGGCCCTTAAATATTTACTCCCTGAAAACTTTGCCAACTCCTGTTTTGGATAACTTCACTGTGCCATTTTAAAAGGTATCACATTTTTTTAAATGCATTTTCTTAATTTCTTTTTTATTTTAATTAAAAAAAAAGATCTTGGTTGAAAAAAGTTTTATGTGAAATAATGCAATGAACTGCTCTCTACTGTACTTTATAGTCTCAACTCCTTAAAAGACATTAATCAAAGCTATGTTCTCTTTATTTAGAATCTATTAAAAATTATTGTAAATCCATTTTATTATTGAAAATACATGCTCTCATAATTATTTCAATGTTTAGAGAAAGAAGATTAATCTACAGAAAAGATTGCCTTTACCCTTAAAATTGACACAAGATGCTTTAAGTAAAAGAAAAGTGATAAATGGAAATAGTAAATTAATATTTCCCCCTGGAGACAGCATAAAATATGTTTCCTCATTAAAATTGTTTGTGTCAATATACAAACTTGCTTTTAACATTTTTCACAGTTTTAAAACCCAAGCAGCCCTTTCTGAATAATTTCATTTGAATAAATATTTAATGCACCTTGCACATTACTCATGTACTTTCCCTCTGCATTTCAAGATGTGCATTTCAATTATTAAAATTTACATTTCAAATAGTCACAAAAAGTAGTTTAAAAATTGGACTCCCTAAATAAAATATTAGGGAATCTTCTTTTAGACAATAGTATACAATAAGTAACGTTAGTAATGATAGACTCAACATTTACCATAAATCAAGTCTCTGGATATTGACTTGAACATGGTACTAAAAATTTCTTGTATTTCTACAAAGCTTTAGATTTTTTTATTTAAAAATTTTTTTTTAGCTTCGAACCTTCAAATTATTGTGCTAAAACTTCGATTTTTCAATCTGCCTTTTTTTAAAAGATTACTCTCATAATAAAAATTTTGAAACTTTGAAAATATCACTGCATTAATATTAATAATTAATATTAACATATTGTTTTACTATAGGAACATTTTTACATTAATGATCTTAGCAGTCCATTAGCAAAGTCTATGGGATCTGACGGACCAGTAATAACCACTCCATTTGCCAAACAAGAAAAAGTGAGCCAGAGATCATGGGAGACTCACGTGACATTATATAAATTAAGCTTAACATCTTTTGCTTATACATTCTGTATTTACAATGTAAACTTCCAATATTAAGGTATCTGATGAAAGAATTTGAGTCATTTGTGCGGCTGAATAATCCCTCTCATCTTCCCTGACTTTGTCTCCTCAAGCCTGAGTTAAGAAGGTAAGAAAACATACCTCAGTGTTTTTGCTGTTTTTCAGTCATGGCTCCAGAAGGAGAATGATGGGGCATTTGAATTACGTACATTAAGGGGGGGTTTAATAAAAGGATATTTTATTAAAGTACCAGAAAGAGTTAGGAAAGCCCCTGAGCATCCTCCAGAATCCTGAGATTAATTAAAGATGGAGGAGCTGGTGATAAAAGACCAAGGGGAAGGAGTAGTTGCAGGAAGCCAGAAATAGCTGTGAGCAAAAGGGCATTTAACAGGCACTGTAGCTTTCAGTTGAAAGACCCTAGTAG